TTGTTCTGGCCACTGATATTGTAATCCATCACGAGATTTTTCCATTGTTTTCATGATGATGGTACAGTAATATGAATGAATGATCTCTGTTTTTACTGTTACAAAACCTTTCAGGAATTATTTACATGTTTTTATAACTAATGTATATAATAATACTTAAATAAAAATGTAATGTAAATGTGAAAATTGCATAAATGGAAAAATAAGAATGCAATTGGTGCAATGCAAATGTATGTATGAAAAAGGTATCAATCAAGAGTGATCATCTTAAAACAGATTTCATTGAACACAAAAGTTTCGATAAATCAAACAAAACTTTACATATAGGGGATAACTTTCACTCCTAACTTCTCTATTTCCCTTAAAAGCCAAATTAACTTCCACTCATGCTCAGGTGTGGAGTTGTCAATATGCTTTAATTATCTCATGAAACAAGCTAAATCAACCAGTTTATGAGCCACATTGTTTGCTTGAGCAGCAACTTTCTTCATGACATTGTCTTTTTCCTTCATCTTCTGTGTTAATTCTCGAAGATGTAGACAGTGTTGTTCATTTTTTCTTGTGAGGGAATCTTTATGTTCAAGAAGTTCTCATACAAGATCTCCATAATCATTGAAACATTTCATCAATATCTTGTTCTTATCTCTAGTGGCTTTTAATTTAGTATCAATCTCATGTTGATGGATCTGATATGATGCTTCCATGTTGGTTATAGCACTATTCAACATTTGATTTTTGGTTTGACATTTTCCCAATTCAATGACAATTGTATTGCGTCTTTCTTCTGCAACTCGTAAATCATGAGAAAACTTCTTAGCTCGACATTCATGTATATTACAGTTCTTTTTCAGTTTGGTGATTCCTGTTATCCACTCTTCTGAGGTGTTTCCTATGACAGCATTTTGAAATGCTTGACTGATCTTTTGGAAATCCTCATGCATGGTTTCCAGTTTTGTGCTCAATTTATTAATTTTAATCTTTAAATAGCGTGTTTGAGGCTCGTACATCAACAAATCTTCTTACTTCTGAACGTCCTTATTGATACTCTTACCTTTGAACACTTTTGGTATTAATCTAGCAGAACCTTCAGTTACCAAACTAGGTCGATCATTTATCATAAACTCTAATATTCCATGATCCAAAAGACATTGGACTCGATATTTGAAAGCAAGGCAATTCTCAATAGTATGTCCTTGAGCTCCGGTATGATATTCACAATAAACGTTCATGTCATACCAATTCGGATACGGAGGTTGCAACGGTTTCACATAATGTGGAGTCGTTTCTCGCGCTTCAAGTAGCTTCTCATACAACTCCTCATATGATTTAGAAATAGCATCAAAATGAGAACCACCTTTTATCTTGGATTGAACCTGAGTTTCAGACGTCGTGAATAGACTAAAGCTTGACAATTTCATATTGTATGATTTCTTCTCATTTCTGGAAGCTTTTACAGTTGTCACCATTTCCTGGGTATCTCTAGACAATTTGTGAATACGAATGATGACTGTCTGTAATTTCTCAAATTGGTTAGGATCCAAAGGCCCTTGTATATTTGAGATTGCAGGGTTATGTTCATTGAGCTCTCTCTCTTTTTGTGCAGGAATTTCTTTTCCTTTGGCTAAAACAGATATTCTACCCATCATCTTGGACATTTTCTCTCTTATTTCTCGTATCTCCTTTTGCTCTTTAACGGGCATACAATCTTTGGGTGCATAGTTTTCTTCTATCCTTGGAGTTTCCTCAAGATGACATTCCTTGGCTGCGTCATAGTTTGCTTGATCATAAATTTTTTTGTCCATATATGAAAACTTTTCAATTTGATGTCCACTCTTGAATCAATACCTTCTAATCATGTCATGATAATGCAATGCAAACAAAAGAAATCAATATAACAAGTTAGAATAAAATAAAATATATCTACAAAATAAATAAAAATAAGAAAAAATAATAAAATAAAAGGGTTAGTACCAGTTAATGGAAAGAAAAGATTATATCTATCATGGTATCTATATATATCCTAACCTTATGCTTTCTAATTCCATGCCTTGTTTGGAAAAACTAACCTAACCACATGATTACTGGTTCACATGCATTTATTGAAAAAAATCAAATAAATTAAAAGCTAGAGCTTATTTCTCCTTTGTGTACACCTATAGACAGAGTTTCAGCATTGTCTCAGGTAAGGTGAATTTCTAGGGTTTATTATATGCAGGGTTTTCATTTCTAGGAGTAAAGGTACTCGAATTGTCCTTGTTAGTGTCCCCTTAGGCTGCCAAACCCTCAATCCTAGTCCATTACAGACTTAAATGGATCGAGTTCAATTCGAGGGGACACATTTCCCTATGCCTGACACGGAGAATAAATTCTCACAAAGACATAGAGTATATAAACCCCGAAAGCTACTTGCTAGGTCTGACACGGAGAATAAATTCTCACGAAGACGTCGCTTTCACTCCCACTTAAAAGGGAAAAGAGCTCAAGTATAGAGCTTATGTTTATGCAATGCACGTGTTGTGTGCGAGGAGAAATTCTCAAACCTTTGACAAACAACGAATAAAAATGAATCCTAATATCTGAAAATTAATCAAAAATAAATGTTAGTATATAAGGATATAAAATAATAAATAAATAAAAATTGAATTAAAAGAAATCAAAAGAATCGTAAATTAAATAAATTTGAATTCTCAATTTCTAACTTATAGAGACAATATATAATCAATTTAAGGCTTGACCAGTTGTTCCCCAGCGGAGTCGCCAAGCTGTCGTAACCGGTTTTTGCCTGGGAACGAATGTTTCTTGGTGGAAAAGCGAATGAATAAATAAATGGTTTTTATTAAAATGTTTTAGAGTCGCCTTCAAACCTTTTGGGTTAGGTAGGTCGAATACCTAAAAATCATCTTTTAAAAGAGTTTTTAAGAAAATACTATTTACAAGATAAATTGGTCTGTGTATAACCAAAAATTCATTCTTTTTAGTAATAAAAAGAGATTCGTTGTTGGTTACGTTTGGAGAAGGATTAGCACCCCCACAACACTCAAAATTGGTACCCCTTGATTATAAATTATCTCTGATAATAAAATTTAAGAATTCAAATATAAATTTAATTTATGATTCTATTATTTCATATTCAATCACATAATTTTATTTAAAGAAAATTCTAAGGAGAAATAGAAAATATTCCAATATTTTCAATCGAAGAGAAACTAATCCCTAAAATGCTTTTAGGATGAATATGATAATTCCTCCTAAGAACTCAATATTTAAATAATTTAATATAACCAAAATGAATATAATTAAAGTAGGCATATTCTATTTTTTAGGTTTTTATAAGTAAGGTATTTATTTATTTTAAAAATATCAGAATAGGAAATCTAGTTACTTTAAGACATCCCTTTCTTAATATTTAAAAATAAATAAATATCATTTTTAATCAATTTGTGAAATTAATCAATAATACTTATGAATTTTTCATATATATATATATATATATATATATATATATATATATTAATGTGACTAAAATTAGATAAAATAAAGAATAATAATTAAAGTACTAAATTAAAAATATTGAAACTTAAAGGGTGATAAAATTTCAATTAAAAAATTACTAAAATAAAGAAAATTAAAACTATAAAATTAATTTTCAAAAATATATAAATTAATAACCCTAATTCAAAATATAATAAAATCTAGGTATTATTAGTGTAATTTAACCATAGATAATAATTCACATTAAAATATAAATTATAAAAAATATTGTCAAACTTATAATAGTAACAAATTCTCATATTTCAACAATGTAAAGGAAAAAAACGATGATTGGTGCCAATGATGAAGGAAAAAGACAAATTGCTCAATTTTTTTTATTATATTATTTTATATTAGGTAGAGAGAAATTATAGGCCTTAATAAACCACCCAAATGTCCCCATCCTATATTTAATGTGGACCTACTACCGACAATAATGATACTAAAAATTCAATACAGCGGATTTAAAATTTGAATTAGATTAATTTGACTGAGAATTCGAGTTACGTTAAATTAAATGACTAAAACATAACAAAATAAAATTTAAAATCTAAATTAAAATTCGTAAAATATGATTTTAGTGACTTATTTATAAAATTACAGAAACAGGGAGACCACGAAAATAATTTACCTAAACCTCAAAATTACGAAAAGGGTCCCTCCCCAAAACGGCATCGTTTGGGGAAGGATTTAAATACCCCTCAAACCGACCTTTTAGGCCATTTTCCTTCATTTTTTGTTGTTTTACTCTCTCACTAATTCTCTCGCCTCTCTCTAGAATTCCCTCACCGGAGGAAATTCTGCCACTGCCGGTCGTCGATTTCCGGCGACAATAACCATCGTGGCCACTACTCACGGTGGCCGAAAATTACAAAGTTACCTCAAATCGTAGATTTTTCCTCCCTAAAACCGAATCCGACTTTTATTTCTCCTAAAAGCCCTTAGATCGCCCTAGATCTAAACAAAACCAAAACTTTTAACTCGATTTTAAACAATGTTCCCGGCGACGATTGGGCTTTCTGGGGTAAGTTCTTCTTTCCATCGTTTGGTTTCTTGATTGTTTGTTGGTTGTTTTTTTCTTTTTATTTGGTGTTGTTGGTTGTCTTCGTGTCGCTTGCCGTTTTGGTTCGTATCTTGCTTGCTCTCCTCTTCTTTGCAAGTTCAATGGTAGCCTTTTATAGGCCACCACGGTGCTCCTTGGACCGAATGATTGGGTGCCCTTTGGTGAGTCACCAAAGCTACGACGGTGACTCACTAAAGGGTTGCGACGTTTGCGGTTGTCTTCACTTCTTCTGGAGTATTCGGTGCGGCTTTGTCGTCGTGACAGCAGATAACTGGGGAACATGACGACGGAGTGGTTGAATGGAGGCGGAGTGGTTGAAGGCGGCGTCGAAATCTCCCTAGGGTTGGTGAACCCTAGGGTTTTGGCTGGATCCATTTTGGACCAACCCTAGGGTTTTGGCTTTGGGCCGTTGGATCTCTCCAGATCCAACGGATGAGATTGATGGCGGCTGGAGATAGAGATGAAACCCTAGTTGCATCTGGATCGAGTCTGTTGGGCCTTCAGATTTAAATTGTATTTGGGCCTATAATAATAATAATTATATTAATAATAATAATATTAATAACAATAATAATATTAATAAAATAATAATAATAATATTAGTAATAATAATAATAAAAATGAGAATGAGGCAAAAACTTAGTGTCTATACCATGTCCCTTCAAGTGAGCAGCAACTTTATCCTTGTCAATAAAAACACCGATAGACTCAACAACATATTCAGCTCCAGCCTCGGCCCATGGAATTTCCTCAGGGTTTCTACCATCATTCACAAAGGCACGTCAAAAAAGTATTTCCTGCAAACAAAAATTCACCATACTCGATCAAAGGAAAAGAAAACCATACCTGTTGCCAAAAACAGTGATAGGCTTTTCACCAAAGAGAATGGTATTTGAGTCATTCACCTTAAGTTCATTGTGTTTCCATTATACATGAAGTCTGTCGTACTTAAACACGTAGGTATATACAAATACAATTATCAAAATCACATCAATTAACAAATTATTAAAATAAAATACACAAGTGAAAACACAGAGGAAAATAAAATAAAATACGGTTACGAACCATGTAATCAGTGGCGATGAAAGGATCGTTAACAGCAATGAGTTCAATATCTTCTCTTTGGAGTTCAACATCAATGCCCTAAACGTGCATGCCAAAGCATTATATTATTAACAGAAAAAACAGACATACAACTAGAATCAGACTAACATTCTGAGGATGACAAAACAAAATTACAACGCTTAGAAAACAAACCAGAAACAAGATTCTTTGAATTAAAAACATAGAGACCACGAGACTCTCTACCAATCCCCCCATCTTCCCAATGAAGAGATTCTGCAAAATGAAAAAATGAGGATAGAAAACAATGTTGCAATTTAGGTCTTTAGTAAGTTTTGATACTGATAACATATTATGGTGAAAGTTAGGTACAAACAACACATTGGGAATAACATCAGCTGAATCAAAACAGAAACTATCAGTGTATGTAATAGGAACAGTTTTACCATTAGGTAAATGTACACAAAGAGAACCAGAATCACATGAAGTAAGAGATTGCAAACAGTGGATTTCAGACACCATATGATCAGTAGCACCTGTATCAAGTATCCAATGCATAGAATCAGAGTGATTAGGTGAACAATTAGAACCAATACCTGCTAAGTTGACTGTTGTATCAATCGAGGGAGATTTATTCAGAAGCTCAAGAATTTGATTATACTGAGCTGTGGTGAAAACTGGAGCAACATGAGTATTACTAGAATCACTAGAACGTGATTCACGATCAGAATCAGGCAATGAGGTGTTGGTAGCAAGAGTAGCCTGGGGAACCTTTTTCTTAGTGAATTTGAAATCAGGAGCAAAGCCATTTAAGCGATAACAACTTCCACGCTTATGACCCTTTATCTTGTAGAAATCACAAACTCCATTAAAACACCTTAGATCAGAATTTTCAGAAGCACTGGAATACATTGCAGTTACTCCCGAAACACCAGATAGCTGAACTCGTTGTGCTTCTTCTTGCACAATCATGGAATAGGTTTGATTAACAATTGGCACAGGTTGCATAAGCAAAACTTTACTGTGAATTGCTGAATACGTATCTTTAAGACCCATAAGAAACTGTAACAATTTCTGTTGGCCAAGATGCTTAGAGTTTTACTGAGAAGCATCATAATTGCAAGTTGAAAAATGAACTAAAGCATGATACTCATCCCATAACAGTTTTAACCGAGTGAAATAAGTTGAAACAGTTGAATCACCTTGAGAAAAAGTTGCAATTTTCCGATGCAAGAAAAAATTCGAGATCCATCAACCTTATCGAATCGCTCCTTCAAATCAGTCCAGGCATGAGCAGCACTTGAAGCAAAGACAATTCTAGCAGAAAGATCACTGCTCATCGTGTTGAAAATCCAGGATAGGACAAACGCATTACAGCGTTCCCACCGAGAATGCAAGAACTCATCATAATCCTCTTTGCAACAAGAACCATCAACAAAACCTAGCTTATTCTTCGTCAACAGCGCAATCTTCATAGAACGACTCCAGATATTATAGTTGTCAATACCGACCAAGCGGTGAGAAACAATAACACTACCCGACGTATCAAATAGATGCATGAACAAGGGGTGATTGAAATCGAGCATGGTGGTGTCAGAAGAATTCATTCCGTCACAAGAAACCGTCCAGGAAAAAGAAAATATACGGATTAACCGAGAATGAAAGAATACGGGTTAAAGGAAAAACGGGTAGATATGAAAACGGCCCAACAAACCACTTGGGCTAAACTGATACCATGTTAAAAATAAGACCCAATATTTGGGTAAAATTATCTTTTATTCCTCTACTTACAATTTACAACAAATAAGTCCTATTTAGACACAAAGCAACTACCATAACTAACTCAATAACTAAAAGCTAACAAACCAACAAACTGTACAACTAAGCTAAACTAGTTAACAATTTCTACACATATACTATTATAAAGTAGTATATGTTCTGATATGCAAAAACAACTACTTGAATCTGAATCCACTTCTTTTTACCACTGAAGCTATTCAATTGGTTCTAAATAGCCAGAAACAAATTCAACCTTAGAGAAAGTATTATAAGAATGAAGCCTCGCACCTGCTGTCTCCGACAAAGTCGGTTGAGATCAAATCTTCATCTGCATAACCAAGAATTCCCTTCATGGTGGTCTGGGATGCCTCCCTACACAGAAAAGACGCATGGTGTCATTACATAAACAACATGCATCTTTTAAACTAAATGCAGCACACTATAAGATCAAATATTCTTAATCCTTACTTGATTGCAGCCTTGATATCTTCGTAAGAAGCCTTCTTCTCAAGCCTTACAGTGAGATCGACCACAGGGACATTGACTGTGGGAACACGGAAAGCCATTCCAGTCACCTTACCATTCAATGCTGGAAACACTTTGCCAACAGCCTACGTAGTAACAAGATGATAATCAAGTTCCAACAATAATTTGAAAACAGTATATAGCAGGCTAGCCAGTCCCATAATACAGGGATAAAACACAGGTCCTAACATCAAACGCTAATCACAAATTAGCTGAGTGATGTTTGACATTCTTAGAAAGGAATATATATTTTTTAAAAATATAAAATTCAACTAAAATTATAAGTTTTACAAAAACAAACATAAAAATACCATACAACTTCACCAGAAAGACAAACCAAATCATTAAATGTACACATGCATTACTTATAAAAGTGAAATCTCGACTAATTTGAGTTTATTTCAAATTAAAAGAAGCTTGTGCCTCCAGATGTAAATGGATAAAAAAATAGGTGATAATAAACAATACAGATCTTGATAGAAAAAGAAAAGCAATAGAACACCAAGTACTTACCAGTGATCGAGTGGACAGTTGTCATAAGACCCTCAACAATACCAATTTTGTCATGAATTACCTGCCATCATGTTCACAGGTTCATTATTACTTTAGAGATAAAAGTATTAGCCAATGCTTTAAAACAGTAACAGAGGAATAATTATTACCTTAGCCAACGGAGCAAGGCAGTTGGTAGTGCAGCTAGCATTGGAGACAAAGTCAAGGCCAGGCTTGTATTCCTTCTCATTTACACCCACAACTAACATAGGGGCATCCTTACTGGGAGCAGAAATGATCACCTTCTATGCACCACCCTAAGAGAGAGAGGGAAACGACCAAAAGGGTAAGAAAACCAGAAATGAAAAGAGCATGATATGGGATTTGTATGAAATTTTTCATATATTTTGATGATTATATACCCTAGAAACATGTCCAAATATTTATGAGCACGGATGTCAATAGCATTTAAGCTCCAGACGCGCAGTACAACATTCCCTCTTCAGCCTTAATAGACACAAAAGGCATGTTAAACTTGGGGGAAAACAACTGTCGTGTACCTTCAAGTGAGCAGCAGCTTTATCCTTGTCAGTAAAAACACCGGTAGACTCAACAACATATTCAGCTCCAGCCTCAGCCCACGGAAATTCCTCAGGGTTTCTACCGTCAACCACAAAAACACGTCAAAAAAGTATTTCCAGCAAACAAAAATTCACCATACTCGATCAAAGGAAAAGAAAACAATACCTGATGCCAAAAACAGTGATGGGCTTTTCACCAAAGAGAAGGGTCTTTGAGTCTTTCACCTTAACTTCATTGTGTTTCCATTGGCCATGAACACTGTCGTACTTAAACATGTAGGTATATACAAATACAATTATCAAAATCATATCAATTAACAAATTACTAAAATAAAATACACAAGTGAAAACACAGAGGAAAATAAATAAAATACGATTACGAACCGTGTAATCAGTGGCGATGAAAGGATCGTTAACAGCAACGAGTTCAACATCTTCGCCTTGGAGTTCAACATCAATGAACATATTTAATATTTAAGTTTTAACATCTTTCTAGATTATTAATGTTTTCAAATACGAACGTTACCAATTTTTCAATCATAAATATGTTATGAAGAGAAAAATCTTCTATCATAATTGGGGAGAAAATTAAAAGATTTGGAAATTAAGATTTTTTTAGGGGTTGGGAGAAGAAAGGAGTTTAGAGTTTAACATAAAACAGATATTTTAAAGGGTAAATTACAAATTTCATCATTAAACTTTATTCTCTCTTATTTTTCTTATTAAATTTTAAAAAAATTCAATTTTTTTCATTCAACTTAATATATTGAGTTTTTTGTCATTTCGCTGCTAAATAGTTAACACATTAAAATAACGTCGTTTCAAAAATTAAAATTTTTATCAAAACGACGATGTTTTGCATCTATATAAAAATCCATTTATAAAGCCGTTAGTGAGAAAACGACTGAGTGACAAAAAAAACCAATATATTAAATTCAGTGAGAAAATTTAAAAGATTTAAAGTATAATAAGTAAAATAGGAGAAAGAATAAAATTTAATTATTAAATTTATAAGAGAAAATAACCTCAGTGATCGAAAATTCCTTATAATATACGATTTTGACCAACTTTTTTTCGATTTGCCAAAATGACCAACAAAATCGCAATGTGGTCTCTAAATCGCAACGCGATCTCCAGTATCGTAAATTAGTTTCCAGATTCGCAACGCGATTTTAACTATCGCATTGCGATTTTCCAAATTCGCGTTGCAATTTTAGAAAATCGCAATGCAAATATGTAAATCGCAACGCGATTCTGACTATCGCAACGCTGAATTTCAAATTCGCAACAAGTTTTAGTTTCGCAACACAAATATTTTGGGTATATAACTACGCAGCAGCAGCAAATCATAACCTAAATCCCTAAATTACAACTCATTTCATCTCCATATATCACTCTCTCCGGCGACATCCGTTCCTATATCCAACAACATCCTTCCCCATCCGGCAACAGGTTTTAGTTTCGCAGCTCCTTTGTTTAGTAAATTAATTTACAATAATGAAATCATCTAATGTTGATCATGTTTGGATAGATTTGTGTTTTGGAGGGTCATGGGAGAATGTTCATGGTGTTTTACAATATATGCCTTTACCCATGAATCTTCAACTAAAACTATCATTAAAATAGTTAACTTATGAAACTCTAATGTTACGTGTTGCAAATAAATTGAATTTAGAGCCCTTAAGTGGATTTAGGCTATCTTATCAGAGAAAATGTAAAGTTTATTTGTTAACCGACAATGAAGATGTTGAACGATTCATTGCTTACATTAGTGTTTCGCAAGATGAAGTTGCTTACAATGAAGTTGGGGTAGTAATCAACTAAGTTTTTCAACCCCAGTTTATGGTGCTCAAAATTTAATGGTTCCACCACAATTTCATCACCAAGCAAATTTTGTTTCACCACATTTCCAATACCAAACACAATCTCAAAACCCACAACCTTTCCCTAATCCAAATCCCAATCAACTTTCAGCACCAAATTTCGGTTTTCGTATTAACCAGTTAGACGATGATGAGCCAATAGAAAAAATTGTGAGTACTAGTCAGTATTCGAAATTTGATCTTGGTTAATACCCGGACTTTGATCTTGGTCAATACTCGGATTTTGATGATGTTTCAGAAGAAGAAACAGACCCTGCGTGTAATGATTTTGATATTGGTCAATACCCGAATTTTGATGATGAAACAGCCACTGCCGAGGAAGATGTTGTTGATGATAATGAGGAGGAAGTTACGACTGTGAATGAACATGTTGAACATCCATTATGTAATTCATATAACCCTAAAAAAGAAAAAAAAGAATAAGAAATCCCCGAAGAAAAGTCCCCGAAGAAAATGCCACGGGAGTATAACTGGAATATGCCAGAATTACTTCAGATACCGGAAGAAGAGTTGGTAAATATAGCAGTTGATTGTTATACAAAAATTATTCGTATCAAGAAAGATGATTGTTTTGATACAAAGGAAGACTTGAAGATAGCTTTGTATATGAAATGTGTGGAAGATGGCTATCAACTAAAAGTTAACAAATCAAGCAAAGATCGTTTCTAAACAAGGTGTATGATTGACAAAAATTGTACGTGGCGTATGATTGCAAAGAGGATAAAAGATTGCGAAATGTTTCAAGTTAGGACTTTTATTGATAAACATACATGTTCAAGAACCCAAGTTTTTCCTCACCATAGACAGGCAAACAAAAATGTGTTGGGTGGTTTTCTAGCTGAGTTAATGTTTTTGAATGGCAGGGTATATCGGGGACATGAAATTATGACTGACATGAATGCTCGGTTCAAGATTAGTATCTCATATTCTCAAGCTTGGAGAGCCAAATGTTATGCCTTGGAATTGTTGAGGGGGTCGCCAGAAGCATCGTTTGCCCAACCGTCGGCTTATTGTCACAATTTAAAGCTGAAAAATCCTGGGTCGGTAACTCATATCAAAACAGATAGAGATGGACGCTTTGAGTTGTTGTTTATCGCCATTGGTGTTGCGGTTAGTAAATCAATATAATTTTGTTGACTCATTTTTGTTAGTTACATGCATTTCACATTTAAATGATTATATTTCTTGTGTATATGATTTTGTAGATTCGTTCGTTTATTACTTGCATACGCCCAGTTATTATAGTTGACGGAGCACATTTAAAAGGTCGATACCTTGGAGTAAACTTATTAGCAGTAGCCATGGATGCTAACAATGGGATACTGCCAATAGCTTACGGGGTTGGCAAATCTGAAACCTCTGATTCATGGA